AGTTTTCGCGGGAAATTCGAGCATGCCGCTGCGTCACGTCTGTAAACATAAAGAAGTTGTCCCAGCTAGTAGGCTATCGCATGTGAGGATCCTGCAGGTGCCAGATTGTTTATAGCCTTTTCTCACAGCAGCTGGAATAATTAAATGTATCATTTTGATGGCAGATTGTAATCCAGCACATACTCCTCGGAACATTAGATTCATCCGTGCTGGAGCCGTGCCACCGCACAACCCACGCAAGCTAGATAATTCCGCACACAGCTGCAATTCCAGGTTTTCAAACAGAGATGGCAACAAAGAGGCAAAACTTACGAAATGCAGCTTTAAAATAAATAAATAAATAAATAAAAACTATTTCAAATGCTATGCTATTTTAAATGCTGTCCTTTTGAACTTTGGATTCATCACATTATCCTGGAAAAAAATGTCACAGTTTCCACAAAAATATTAAGCAGAACAACTGTTCAACATTGATAATAATACAGTAATGTTACCAAATCAGCATATTAGAAAGATTTCTGAATGATTTTCTATGTGTTGATGTGAATTTTTTAAAATATTAATAATATATTAATAACATTATAATATTATATTAATAATATTAATCATATTAACATGATTAATATTTACATACATACTTCACATAATTTAAGTAACTATGTACTTTATGCACAATGTAGCTAAATACTGTAAGAATTATTTTCCCTCTAGTCTTTCTGCAAAATAGTTTTGTTTTGTGTTTCCATATAGTCTTATTCAGTGTTTATTTTTTCAAAGTTAGGCCAGATCTGCCTGTGTGTTGCTGATATATATGTTATTCTAACTTTAGAGTTCCACATATTCAGACATATGAATCTTTTCTCTATTTTGATTAGTACGTCTATTACTGCTGGTCCTGCATTTAAAGTTTAAGTCATTATTGTGCCACTGCAGTTTGAGTCCCTTTAAACTCCTAATATATTGTTACTTCATCCATCCCCAGTTTCCTTCTGTGATTTTGAATCTCCATGTTCTTGGACGTTATCCAATCACAGTGCTGGAGGGGACTGGTATGTCACATCACCACAGCAACACAGATCCAATAGACGGGGTGTCCAACCAATCAAAGATTATTCCACTGGAAAATCTGAAGGTATGATTAATAACTTCATTATACTTTGACACTCAATTCAGATCAAACAATAGCTGGTGGACCTTTTTTTTTTTCAATTAATCAATTGTCTGTACAATCATGGGCAGTTCAGTAAGAGCTTTCTGTCTTTCAACAGGTCATTTTTTGTTACTAAAGCCCACCTTAACTCATTTCGCTGCTGGCAGATGTAGTTTCCACATGACCAGTCCTGTAGTGCTCAGCAGTGGGCCACTTTATCGTCTTCGTCTCGCTCGTTTCCAACCGGAACCACATACAGGAAACATATCCGCCTTTGTGAAACACACTGACCACTCCGTCATCAAACCTATAGCCCTTACAGTCAAAGAACAAGGAACTGGCAGGTGAGACATTCATTGAATTGCCTCAAACTTGAAGCAATTAGAAAATTACAGAAATGGAAAGTCACAACAGTTACAGTGGTCCCCAGTTTTTTTTTTACTTTTCACCAAGGCTGCGTTTATTTAATCAATAATACAGTAGAAACAGTAATATTGTGAAATATTATTACAATTTAAAATAACTGTTTTCTATTTGAATATATTTTAAGATATAATTTATTTCTGTAATTGCAAAGCTGAATTTTCAGCAGTCATTACTCCATTCTTGGAGTAATTACTCCATTCAATGTTGAAAACAGTTGTGCTGCTTTATATTTTTGTGGAAACCATTATATTTAAATATGTTTTCTTTGATTAATTACTTGATGAATAGAAAGCTCAAAAGAACTATGTTTATTTTAAATATATATTTTGTAACAACATGTTTTGTTTTTTTTCCCCAAGTTATTATAACTGTGACCTTAATTGCCTACCGCATGTAAACCTGTCTTAAGGACTGTTCCATAGGTGCATGTGTGAAAACTGATTATAGTTAATTAAACAAGTATGAATACAGTTATATCTAAATATAATGGTGATGTCGTAATAGATCTGATTGACAGACCATAACATTTTCAGTGCCAATTTTGAAAATAAGCAAAAGAGCAATCAATGACATATGCACTTTACTTTCACACAGAAGAGTGTAAAGCAGCATTCTGTACCCACAAGAAACAAATGCCAACCAAAAGACTTTTGTTATGGAGATGTAGTTGGTATTGATTTTCTTATGCTGGGCACATCACGTAGAAGATGGATGAAAGCATTTCGTTTCTAAAAGTAGGACCTGATGTTTCTTTTGGCGTAATTGGTTCTGACAGAGAGCTAGGAATAGATGGTGATGCAATGCAATTTGGAACAAGCCAGTATGATCATGACGTAGCTAATATACTTTTACTTTCTGCATTTGGCTATATGGATCTGGGCCTAATAGAGGTTACGACATGGGAGTGTGGTGTATGATACAAATTAGTCATATACTTAATAATAATTTCGACCTTGTGCATCCATTATGTGTTGAATCCTTTGAGCTGATCTAAAATTGAAATGTTTGTTAAAAGCATTTCTTTTTGTGTGTCCCAGGCCACAGTGGGAGGTGCTGGAGGCTGTGATTGGCCAGTTAGACGAGCCTTTCCAGGTGACAGTGCAGTACTCTTCCTGTAGCAGCCATGAAGTCGGATTTCTGGCATTTGATTCGCTGGAGCTGAAGGATTGTGTCATGGGTAATGGCTTATTAATTATTCTCAAATATTATCGAACTCAAACGTGTTTTAAGGTTACTGTATGTGTTACTTGCATCTGTAGAGCATTTCTACTTTATCACTATGAAATGGAAACTGTTTATTGTGCCCATTGCGTTTTTTTATTTAATATTCTATATTAAATTATTTAAATGAATGCAGTGAATATTATTCTTCTATCTTTATGTGGCCCATTTGAACAAAATCTTTATGGTTTTCTGTGGCTTTCGGCAGGTGATGATAATTTGGATTTAGGTTCAGACTGTGAGAAAGACTCATCACTTCACTGTCATTCTGGAGGCTGCATTGAGAAGCGAAGAGTGTGTGATTTTCATACTGACTGCCCACAAGGGGAAGATGAGGGCTTAATATGCAGTGAGTGAAATAAAAGATTTTAAATATTTTATAAGCCATGAAGATGCATTGTTTCTGTTATCAGTCTGTCAGTAATTGTGAGCTCCCCAGACTCAAAATTTGATCCTTTTTCAAAGTTTAATGCAATCACTTTTGCACACATAAGACCATTTAGTTTGTGTGGAGCTCTTTAGCCTTTAAAAAAGGCCATTTTTAATCATGTTTTGGTTATTTTAAATGTAGAGAACGGGCTACTTCTCACCAATCCATTCATTCAGTTTAGGATAATCGAAGCATTTCTTTAAAAGGTGGCCTTTAAGCTATAAATCCGTAAGATTTGCATTCTTGCCAATTTGCATTTCGTTGAGAGTGTTCAATTAAATTATGAACAGCAGTGTGACAGGGCGATATAAGAGTAACCACTGAGTAACTGGCTGGCTGTGTGTCACTCACATTAGCTGTATTAATTCTTAAGGCCATGATAAATTTCTAATCCTTTCACCGGAGGCGCTGGATTAGCAAACCTGCTCTGTCAAAGTTTTTCACTGAGTAAAGAGATGCATAAAAGGCCTGAAATCATGAGTGTTTGCTTTAGGATAATCGAAGCATTTCTTTAAAAGGTGGCCTTTAAGCTATAAATCCGTAAGATTTGCATTCTTGCCAATTTGCATTTCGTTGAGAGTGTTCAATTAAATTATGAACAGCAGTGTGACAGGGCGATATAAGAGGGTGCCACTGAGTAACTGGCTGGCTGTGTGTCACTCACATTAGCTGTATTAATTCTTAAGGCCATGATAAATTTCTAATCCTTTCACCGGAGGCGCTGGATTAGCAAACCTGCTCTGTCAAAGTTTTTCACTGAGTAAAGAGCTGCATAAAAGGCCTGAAATCATGAGTGTTTGCTTTCCTCTAGGAAAACTATTTGCATATTTATTGATTTATTTAATCTCCATTAATATTTATACTATGCTTAGATGATTTATAATTATTGTCTGTGTACAAAGAACTTTGTAGATGGTGATATTTGGCACACAGCACAGGCACAGTGTAATCCACAAAGATAAAAAAGGTGAGAACAAAGAAATCCAAATTTACAGGCAGTCTATTAAAATGTATTACAGATTTATCTGCTACACACATTGCATAAATATTCTGTTAATTATTCTAGAATTAACAAAATAACCCTAAAAGTTTGATTAGCTACTTGTTCAGCATGAAAAATAAAAGCCAGTAACATGTGACGATAAATAATTTAAACAGCATTTGATTAATAATTTACCATTCTGTTTATTTGTTTAGTACTTTTCATAATTCATTCTGTTGTATATTGTTGTCCTACCAACACTGATAATAATAAGAAATGATTCTTGAGCTGCAAATCCTATTAGAATGACTTCTGCTGGATCATGTGACACTGAAATATATTAAAATAGTAAACATTGTAAAATATAAGAAATGTTAACAATATTTTATAGTATTACTGTTCTTTAAACTAAATGTGGTTTGTTTATTACTGGAAGTAAGTGATGTTGGAATTATGTAATACTGGAACACTTTTTTTATTACTCTATCAGACTGCTGAAAAACAGACTTTGTTCTATACAGCACCTGGGCTTAAAGCTGAATTGAACAAACTGGAAAATCAAACTACACCAGCTTTGTTGATTTAGCTAACTACATTTTAGTGAACTTAATGGATAAATGGAAGGAAAAAATGTAATATATCTCTGACGAGCTTTTAAAGCTTTGCTAATGTTTGCCGACACAGTCAGTTGTATTTTGTGCATACAAATACATTTTGTCAGACATTTCATAATTTGCTGAATGTCTTTGCAGACACCTTACCTTTGGGCTCATACTGTTCATTTGAGTTGGGATCCTGTGGATGGTCAGTGACTGATTCACAGTCCTCCTGGAGACTAGTTAGTGGACAACAGCTGACTGAAGACACAGATCTACTGGGCAAAACTCTGCAAAACACTCAAGGTAAATGTGAAACAACATCTTCTTTCAGCAAAACGTTTTTTTGGCAAAACTGTTGGATTCTCATCAGATTAATATAACAGCTTTGAGACAGGGACAAATAGGAGACCCATGTGTATAAAAAGACTATCTTTTAAATGTCTTTTCACAATGCTTTTAGTTTTAGTCACAATGGGATTTTTCAAGACATGGGAATCCAAAATATTTGAAGGAAAACTATTTTCGTGACGTGTTAGTGGCACCTGTAATTTTAACTTGATAGAAATGTTATCCTTGGGAGGAGTCTTTCCTGATTTACAGGCTGCAGGAGTACAGTGCTGTATTATAGTGTGATGTATTTGTAGAATGATGCAAGACTAAATCTCAAATCCACAGCACAGGTGTCCAAGTCCACTTTATGGCTGATTAGTTGTATTCCAACTCGCTAAAGTGAAATGTTCCCTTAAAAAAAAAGACATAAACTGTTTATTTGTGGGGATGAGAAATTCTACCTCTCTAAAAAATTGTCTGCACTTGGGAGACTTTAAACGCCCATTTTGAAGATATTTTCCAGCTTCGCCTATTAAGTTTTTTTTGTCTTATAAGCATATCTGAGCACTCTACAGAGTACTGATCCTTTCTCGCCTCAGGGCACTTTCTTTTCTTAAAGGCCAGAGGTCGCAGGGATGAAAGTGAGGCATTGGTTCAAAGCCCAGCTCTCCCTTCAACTATATCCAGTCAGGACTGTCAGGTAAGAGTTTATGTTGACGATTTTTTTAAGAGTCTGTCAGATTTTTTGAAAGATTTTTTTTTTGAAAGAAGTCTCTCATGCTCACCAAGGCTACTATTTGATCCAAATAGAGTAAAACTAGCAGTATTGTGAAATATTATTGCAATTTAAAGTAACTGTTTTCTATTTTAATATATTTTAACGTGTTATTTATTTATTCATGTGATGGCAAAGCTGAATTTTCAGCAGCCATTACTCCAATCTTCAGCATTTATTTGAAATAGAAATCTTTTATATTAGATTTAATATTATAAATCTCTTGACTGTCGCTTTTGATCAATTTAATGCATCCTTGCTGAAAGTATTAATTTCTTAAAAAAATAAAAAATTACTGACTCGACCTTTATGAGTGTATGCATGACTGTTCACATAAAATCATGGTTTTCCTGTGCCACAATGTTTGGATTCTGAGACTGCTTTATGGGCAGATTTCAAGTTAATTGTCCATGAAAAATGGGGACACATCTGTACAACATATCTACAAATAGCTTACACAGAGTAACAATACATGCAGCCAAAGTTTAAATTTTACACTTGATTTTCCATGAATAAGATATTTTTATGAGACATCTGGTCTTGCAGCAGACGCTCAACTGCTGATTTTTCTGTGCAGTTGCAGTTCTCTCTGTACCTGTATGGGGACTTCAATGGAACGGTGCTCCTGTCAGTGGTGGAGAATGGAATGTCAGCGTCTCCACTGATTTGGGAGAGATCCGGACACTGGAATGACGCCTGGCAAGAGATCACTTTGCCGATTACAGAGATCTTAAAAGGGTGAGATGATTGGATGGATGTTTAAACAGACAGAAAAATACTTTTATTAATCCCCAAGAGTGTGGATATTTAGTGTAAAGGAAGATGGGGTAAAACTTCCCCCTTATATATAATGTGATTTTTAACTGTAACAATTTATGTAATATACTTGGATATGTTTAGCATGTACAGGATCGTTTTTGCACAAAAACATATAAAGAGACCATTCTGTCCCAGTTCTGGGTTAAAAGAATCCCCTATCTGGTTAAAGAAACCATCAGGGGCATCTTATCTCAGCTGTCATTTGATTTTCATAGAATTATAATCGAATCATTTAATTTTAAGGCTTTCCTCAGATTTAAAAAAAAAAAAGTGTATTGATGTAAAATTCCTAAATCAAATATATGATAAAATTTTGCATTTTGACTATTTATTTACAAACTAATTTTCGTGAGGGAACTGCAAGGGGTTTATGAGTTGAGGATAAGCTAAAATTAATCATAAAAATGTACAATTAACATTACAATTTTAAAATACAAACATTCAAAATAAAACATTTACTAAGTAGATGTGAATTCCTGACAATTACATTAAAAATTAGGAGGAGGCATCTTACCCAGAAGAACTTCTTACCCTGCTTAGAGTGGAATTGTTGACCTGTATTTGAGCTATTTCATTTCATTAAATGTCTATGTTTACATTAACAAATCTGATTTCACCTTTGCTCTTATTCTAAAATGATTTATAATTTGCTTTGAGCACAGCTTCCATCTTAAAGTGCAGGCCTTCTGGACTTCTGGATCTAAGGCGGACATTGCACTGGATGACATTTCATTAAGTGCAGCATGTTTTGACACAGGTAACCTTTCTGCCTCACACATGTACACATAAGTATGCACACAAACACTTATTTCTTGCAGAATAATGGCCCATTCGTTCATCCTTGGTGCAAAATTTTATTGACCACAGCGCAGTTTTAAACTCACGCAAATTGCATCCAAGCACTCAATGATAGGGCGTTTTCATAAAATTTTGTATTTAGTAAGACAGACAGAGAATTTAAGATGTGATGTACACACATGATGTCTAACCGCTGTCTCCAGTTAGCAGTGGGAGATGGTTCTCATAACACGGTTGATATAGATTCTGCTTGATTTGTTTTGAAGGATGAGAGAAGTGATAAGAGGACCTCCTATCTCACAATCCGCAACTGTCGTAAAAATGCCAACAATAGACTTTCTGCTTTTCTAACTAGCATTTATAGATATTCAGAATCAGGTTTCTTTCCATGCCACGGTTGACCGCAGGAATTGATGAGCCTGTTAATTGACGTTCTTGACTTGTGAAAGTCTAGATTTATTATCCTCGTTAACTTCATTTCCCATAATCTGTGATTTTGAGAAATTCCTGAGCCATCTGCTCACTAAATATCATCTTTAGCTTTCTATTTAGTCCTCCTCTTGCTGTCGTATTGTCTTTGTCATGGTCTGTGGTCACTCAACACCTTAAAATCTCATCCAATAAAAGCCATGGACTTTGGAGGGCTTGAATTCTCTCTTTAACCTAAATGTTATTTTTTGTTGATCTTTGGTTAACCTGAAATATAGGAGAAAGAATAAACATGTAAATGGTTGAAAATGTAAACACTCTGGCTTAGTAGTTTTGTAGGTAATGCCAGTATGAATCTGGCTTATGACATTTCCTGCTCCCCTCTCATCACCCCATTACAGTATGTCAACCCTGTTGAAAGGATCAGTTTAGACCAGCAGGAATGTCCATGCTGGTCCAGGCTGTTTTATCCTGGTTTGTGCTGGTTTAGTGGCTATCTAGTTCTATCTGACTGATAGACTAGCATAGCCATGTTGTTCACCAGCAAAAATTGTCTATCAACTAGCGTTATTGTACTAGTGGAGATGGTTGCCCAGGTGAAAAAGAAGTACTATTAATTGTATTAAAAATGTACTTGAAATTCAGAAGTATACTAGAAGTAATTTGGTAATAAATATATGCTTAGTTACACTTTTAAGAAATATGCTAAAGCACAAGCATACTTTTGTGACATTTTAGTGTATTTACAGAAAACATTTTACTCTCACTTAAAGTTTACTTTGTGTAAGAACATAGTAAAATTATACAGATTTTAGTGGGTTTAAAGTATATGTATCTTATTTATAAACCATATGTAGACCTAATGCAATATATTTCAAATACTAATGTAATGAACATGTGCTTCAGCCTGCTTTTCAAAAGGAAGATATCTTGAAAAACATTTGTAACATTTTTATATATTTCATAAAGTATATTAAAGGGGTCCTATTATGCTTATTCACTTTTTCAACTTTAGTTAGGCTGTGATGTTGCTGTTTGAGCATAAAAAAGATCGTCTCGGTTACGTATGGTAACCCTCGTTCCCTGAAGGAGGGAACAGAGACGTCACGTCGGATGACCGACGAATTGGGATCTCGCTTAGAGAGAGACCAATCTACTTCGAGTGTAAACTAAACGAGCCAATGCACATTGGCATGCGATTATTGCATCCAGCTGCCGCTGATCACAGCGTGAGTATAAGTAGGCAGCAGATGCAGCGCATATTCAGGTTTTCACTGAGGAGCCGAGCCGGTGACCCGGCCGCTCAGCGGTGGTACGCATATTTTCCGGGATTTGTGATATCACAAATATCGACGAATGGGATGAGACCTGGTTGAGCTGCACTAGAGAAGGCAACGAGTGTTATCACTGTGTCGGAGACACGCTAGCTTTCCCAAGGCAGATGAACTTAGAGTGGTTACAATCATCCGGGTTTAAATGGCGCTCAAATTGATTTGATTTTGACGCAATATTTACACTGAAGCTTGCAGGCGGCTATGGTAAGGGGCATGACATTTCCCGACCAGGCGCCGAGTGGTGCCAATCACAACACACACTGGCCTTGCTAACCAATCACAGCACATTTCGTATTTCAGAAGGCGGGCCTTCATTTGATACAGGAACTATTCGAGTCATTCATGCCAGACTGGGGAGAGAGGTGTTGTAATAATGTAAAATATGTGAAAAATTGTTTTTCGAACAACCTAGTATGAGAGCCTGTTCTAGTACACCACCAAAACAAAATCAAGACTTTGTAAAAGAGCATAATAGGACCCTTTTAATTCACTCACACATAAATACACTATAGCTATAAAATAAGCAAATGTATTCTTACATTTTACCTGTCACATGTTTGTTTCTGTTTAGTTCCTGTCTGCCCTTATTTGGTTCATTTCATGTTCCCATTTAGTTAAGCATTGTTTATTCTGATCACCTGTGTTGTATTAATCATCTCGTTTGCTCCTTAGTTTGCCTTCCTTATAAGCCCTCAGTTTCTGTGCCTTCTTTGTCCTGGATTAATGTTATTTTCAATGGTTTATGTGGTTGATACTGATTAAAAATACTCCTTTACTCCTACTCTTTCGTCGTGCGCTCACTACAACCACAACCCCGTGACAGAATCCAGGACCTCAAAACAAGAGATGAACTGGGCTGAGGATTTCCTCCTTGATATCCAGCAGGAGGGACGGCCTTTGGAGCAGTATGTGGAGGAGTTTCTGAGCCTGATACATCTGGTGAGTTGGAGCGACTCCATGCTTAATGCGTGCTTCCAGATGGGACTAAAAGATGATAATTTGTTTAGTTTTTTGACTCCTGACTATTGCCGCAGACCTGTAGCGGACTTTCTAAATTATGTTCTAAAGATAAATGGTTCCAAGTTCCTTGTAGATGTGGAGGATCCTCATCCTCCTCCCATCCGGAAGCATGTGGGCGCTCCCTCCCTCATCCTCAGCCCAGGACTGCCGTCCTCCGCTGACGTAAGTTTGCCGGCCTCTGCTGACGTAAGTTCGCCAGCCGCGGCATTCTCAAGCCTGCTGGCCGCCGCAGATGCAAATCCGCCGGCTTCCGCTGACGCAAGTCCACCGGCCGCTGGCCTCTCAGCGCTTTTGGACATGCCACTAACTCCCGAGTTCTCTGCCCCTATCCTCTCTCCAGAGTTCACTCCAGAAAGCTCTCCTTCGTCTCCTTCATCTCTGCTGGTCCCGTCCAGCCCTCCTTCGTCCCCTGAGCCCCCTGTGTTAGCGAACTCCGCTCCTCCAGTGCCCACTCCTCGAAAGCACCCTCCAGAGCCCGCTCCTCGAAAGTGCCCGCTCCTCCAGAGCGCCCTCCAGAGCCCGCTCCTTGAAAGCGCCCTCAAGTGCCCGCTCCTCCAGAGAGCCCCCCAGAATTCCTAGCTTTCCCCAAGAACATTTTTTGGGAGGGCAATCAATATATTGTTCTGCTTTTACTTCTTTGTACTTGTAAAAGAATACTAGGCTGTTTTGTAATACAATTCAAAGACATTTTAATTTCACTTTTAAATAGGCTACATAGCATAATATATTAATAGGCTACTATTGAACTGTATTTTCCGCAAGCATTTCATCATCGTATCATTTGAAGTACAACATAAATAATTTTTCCAAAGATATGCTTAAAAGAACTATTTACTGACTTGTTTATGTACCTAAATTCAAACAAGCTCAACCTACCGCGTGATGCACGAAAACAAAACCTCATTGGATTTTGTAGAAGCTCAGGCGTGCATGCGTAACACCTGTTACAAAACCTGATTGGTTCTTGACAGATTTAATTAAAATACATTTCATTAAAATCAGTTTTTGTTTTGAAGATGAACGAAAGTTTTAAAGGGGTTGGAACAACATGAAGGTTAGTACTTGATTACAGAATTTATATATGTGTGTGTATATATATATATATATATATATATATGTGTATGTATATATATATGTATAATTTCTGTTACTTGTCATTGCCAGTAGAAAACTTTTTTTAAGTGCAGTAGCTACATTCAATTTGACCAATCAGAGCCGAGCTTTTCAAATCAGCTTTGCAGGTAATAGTCCAATCACACTACTGTATGCTGTTGAGATGGTAACATGTTTTCAGCAGAAATCATTCCAGCTTTGCTTTATTTTATTTTCCTGACTAGAAAACCAGGTCAGCTCCCACCACCCATGAACAACTTAGGCACAAACCCCCTCATGGTAGTAGAAAGCCGTCATATGTTTACAGCTGTGACAATGAGCACTTATCAGGATCAACTAAATGCTGGATTTTCAAAAGTATGTGAAATATTTAAAGTTCGCGGCATAGAATCTTTAAAATAAGTCCAAGAGTTTTACACACCGGTCTGTTATTGTGGGGACATTTCCACACCCCTAAACACAAGGCGGCACAAACCGAAACGTGATTGGTTGCTTTACCTGTCAGTCATATGGCCTCTTGGGCAGTCCTTGCCATTCAAAGCGGCCAAGGTTTGAGACTTTAGTCTTTGCAAATTTACAGATCTTCTTTATGCACCAAGAGCTTGTAACACTCCAAAGAGAAAGGAAAAAATGAAATCGCATCATATGACCCCTTTAAAGTCTAGGTCTTGGCATTTGTCTGTCATATAACAGTTATAAAAACATTGTCCAATGTATTGGCAGAAAGAATAATGTTTCGTTATAGCATGTACACCATTAACATGCTTTTTTTTTAACTAAAATTATGTTAAGTATTTTTTCCCCTCAATTTGTAATTGTAACAATTGTAATGAAGTAAATATTAAATATAAATGAGAATTTCATTGTGAAATATTAGTTCAAATTAGTTGTTTTCAGATCAGCTGCTGTTGCAATAGAAATCAAATTGAAATCAGATCAGAGAGACGAGCAGTTAAGAGAGTGGTATGTTTTATTCTCATATCAATGAACCTCACAGGTTTAATTCTGACTTTTGGGGCTCTAAGTGTCATGCTAACTTTGGATTCAGGACCTCTGTTGTAGAGATGTTGGGTCTCTTCTAACCTTATGTTCAATGTAACAGAGAGTGCTTTATGGTGACGACAGACAAGAGGATAAAAATGGACACTCATGTCAAGCTTGATGAGGATATAGTCTAAGCTTTACCTTCGAACTGAGAACAGTCAAAGAAATTCTAATGCTTATCTATACAAATTATAATACATATAATATTCAAAAACACTACTCAAAACCACTGATTAATTATTTTCCCTTTCACAGACCCTGTGATGAAGCACTTTTCAAATACCACAGTGTCTGAATTGCAAGAAAAGATGCAGATGAAGAAAATGCAATTTTAAAACACAAGTCAAACTCAAAGAAAAGTGAGTTGAAGGTGACGAGGAAGATGGTGACATTTAAATGTTCTGTTTCTTTGTTTGATTTAGCCATTTGCAGGCTTAACTTGAGTTTGTAAAAAAAAATTCACTTTTGCTCTTTAATGATTTTCAGTAACCTCTTTATGTATGTTTAAGCAGAAAATCGCATTATGCATATTTATTCAGTGATGGAATATTCATAGAGTACTTTCCATTAATACAGGTATAACAGAAATGTTCTACAAATTGATTAAAGTAGTTCTGTTAGCATTTCACTGATCTTTATTTTAATTTATAATTTATTATAATTATTTTGGTCAAGAGTTTGAATATGCTCTGCTGTATGTTTTAAATGTACTCAAGGAATGTATTGTTGTAATGTACACAGGATATAGTACATTAAACTACATTATAGTACATGAAAGTGTGTGTAAGTGTGTGTCATTTTAATTTAATGACTGTATATTATTTTTTAATATACCATTTTAGAATGCTGAAAAATAGCTTAATAATGTACTGGTAATGCATTTCTAATCAGCTGAAATGCTATTTAAAATGTTCTAGAAGCACATTAAAGTGAAGCTTAAAATATATTCTAACTGTAGTTCAAGAAGTATAAGTGTATTTTAAATAATGCAAAGAAGTACAATTAAATTACACTAAAGATACTTTAAGTGGTTCCATTTTAACAACTAAATAAATGAAAATATATTGCAATTAGCTTAAAGTTTATCTTAAACATATCCTAAAGAGCACTTAACATACTTAAAGTTGTTCCAAAACAACACATTTATTATGCACTTAGTATAGTATAATAAAAATATAATAAGTGCATCGATATTAGTACAATTTAAGTGTATTTCTTTTTTTACCTGGGTGACCAAGGAAGTCCTATTGACTATTTGGGAAACCAGCATCTAATACAATACTGCTCTTGACTACCAAAAATAAAAAGTTGAAAAAATAAAATTACACAAGGATTCATTGATTCCAACATGTCATTTTTGTTCCTCTATTTACTTGTCGTTCTTTCACGTCTGGTTTATTAGAACTAAATGAACTGCTTCTTGGACAAGGACTACCACATGATTTAGACTCCTTCAGTCCTCTCCCAGAACCCTCAGCGTCAGGTACGGTTTGTGTCCTGCACATTTTAAAAATACACTAGCGTTCGTAAGTTTGGAGTTGGTAAGTTTGTAAAAGAAGTCTCTTATGGTCACCATGGCTGCATTCATTCGATCAAAAATAAAGTAAAAACAGTAATATTGTCAAATATTATTACAATTTATTATTATTACAACTGTTTTCTATTTTAATATATTTTAAAATGCAGTTTATTACTGTAATGGCAAAACCGTAAGTTGTGAAAACAAAAAAAACAATCTCTTTTATTTTCAGAGGCGTTCCAAATAACATGGTGGTTTACTTCCTGTGGAGCAAGCGGACCTCTAGGTCCGACTCAAGCCCAGTGTGACAGTGCCTACCGCAACAGCAATGTCAGTGTGGTGGTGGGGAAGGAGGGCCCTCTCAAGGGGGTTCAGATGTGGAGGGTTCCAGCTACCAACATATACAAGTAAGTTCAGAAGCTTGAAATCGTTCTGGTTTAGAGTCGTAATTGGATTCAGAAACAGGTACTACTCACGGACTTTTTGGAGAAGCTGTTTGGTAAAATAAGACTTATTGGTTAAGCTAACGTTAGTCTGGTGGAGATCATCCTGTGCTTGCGACCAACATCCAAAATGCATACAATTAAAATAAATATGAGTGCTACTATAAACTAGTTTTCACTTTTTTGTGCTTTGTCAATGTAATCTTCTCAAAATCAGAGATTCTGCCCTCAAAATCCAATTGCAAGATGCATGTTAATACCAGGTGTTAACAGTTCCTCCCTCTCTCTCTCTCTCTCTCTCTCTCTCAAAGTCTCTCCTTTTGTAAAGGCAGCGAGAGGCATGACTCACTGGCTGTAGGCACAGATAAATCTCTTCCTGTACTTTACTTAATCTGGCCCCTGTGTAGTCAAGCCTTTGAACTGATTTACAGTGATTATAAAGGCTAGTCATGGGAGCTCATTAAAAACAACTCCAAAACTGTCTGTGAAAGAAGGGCATGCAGGAGAGGAGATGCAGGAGACAGGAAAATATGACAGATAACTATCAGATTAATTTATACAACACTATGTTGTGATACTATTGCATTCAGGGTGCCAGACTGAAATATAGAGATCTAACCCCGACTATCCCTCATTCACAAACTGAATTATTTTATATTGTATCCTTTTGTTTTGGTGCCCAAAGCACTGGCTGGCTTTAATAACAAAAAAATTATATTTGTCTTGAGATAGGAAGTTTTATCTTAGTGATGTGGGGGAATTAAAGTATTTCCTTTTACATTCTAGGATTAATTAAGGTTGAATATTCAGTATATTAAAATGATAGTATAATCACAGGCCTAATGGTGATCATTTTGGCGCATTTATGGCTTAATAGCTTAATATACTAACTGGCATATTAATAGTACATATTAATACATGGATTATCAAACTGTGTGATGACAAGTACCCTCAAGAATGTTGATCCCCTTGGGAGAGACCCCGTTTTAAAAAAATTAAGGCAGCTGTATTTTCATGTGTAAATGAAATACTGTGTGATATTAGTAATATTAAGCATGGTATAAAGATTTGTTGTTTCCAAATAAAAATAATTTGCTGTAATATTGACAGTGTACTAAAGTAAATGCAAATGACTGAAATATTATCTTGAATATATTTACTTAGTTGACAACATATGTTTTTTTCTTATGATTTATAGATTTAGTATCTATTGATAAGTTAGATTTATTATATTTTACTTTAAAAACAGTATGGTCATGATTAATCCGATTAAATATTAAAATAATTTATTTCAAATACTCATACTTTCTTATAAAATTTAAAACAGTTCCCACCAAATGTTCCTTAAAAAGAGGAACATTTGAACAGATTTCTTATGGTCTAATTATATGTACAGTATATGGGAATATTATATGTAAGGCGAATTTGGGTTAATTAGGGAAAATTTTTTCCTAGTTTTCTCAGTGGCAAAATGCGTCCAAATTTACCTGAATTCAGTATATATATATATTTCTTTTTAAAGGGGTCATTTGATGCGATTTCAACTTTTCCTTTCTCTTTGGAGTGTTACAAGCTCTTGGTGCATAAAGAAGATCTGTAAAGTTGCAAAGACTAAAGTCTCAAATCCAAAGAGATATTCTTTATAAAAGTTAAGAGTCAGCCACGCCTACCTAAAACGGCTCGTTCTAACACGCCCCCACATACCTACGTCAC